AATAATAATAATAATAATAATAATAATAATAATAATAATAATAATAATAATAAAAATTTTGGCTACTGCCATAAACACAATATGAAAGAAATCTAGGCCAATCAGGATTATATAAATCGCATAATGAACCTTACAAGTTGGTGTGTGAAGAATTGTTTCCTCTCTGTGGCCCCCTTCAAATGTGCCAGGACATCCCACGAGGCCATATGGCCCCTCTTTTGAGCATCCCTTGGGAGGGATGACCTAGGGCAGCTAGTTATTCAGAGTATTCACAGCTGCATTGGAGTTTTAGGGAAAGGGTTGTTGGAGTGAGGTGTCCCCTGGATGCCATCTTTAACCAGAACTGGTTCATCTCTCTCAGTGGAATACCGAGGATCTTCTATTATTTTGATGTTACCAGCAATTCACTAGGCTGTCACCTTGGTTTTATCATGTGCCATCTCTAGTCATTATCTTATCAATTGAAGGAGCAGGATGTAGAAAATGTTGAACATGTTTTACTACACCGTGCTTTCCATCGTGATATTTGCTGTATTTTTATTACCCTTGCCCTTTGAAAAAGTAAAATAAAAAATACAAGTAATTTGGATTAGCTGTATCTTTCTTTCCTCTTCTTTCTGACCATGATGTCCCAATGACTGGTAAAGTGATAAGATTTTGTGTAACTGCTAATATTTGTCACAATTATTTTGTTTACTGGTTAACAAACTAGATTCTGTATGCTGACTATACTGTTACTGAACTATATATTTTTGCTGGTCTTTGACTGTAATAAAATTTTACTGCTACTATATTTTCAATGGATTGCGCACTGCCCAGAGAACTCCAGTTCTCAGAAAGTCTAAAACGCGAATGAATGAATGAATAGATGAATGAATCAGTAAATAAATATTCATTTTTCCTCCATAGACTCTTCCTATTCAGAGCCTCCAGATGTCCAGCAGCAATTGAACCACTACCAGTCAGCTGCTCTGGCAAGGAATAACAACAACATTAGCCCCATCCCAGCCGACCAGAAAGCTGAAGCCATCCTTAACTGTGAATTTTGTGAATTCTCCTCGGGTTATATTCAAAGCATTCGGCGACATTACCGTGACAAACATGGAGGGAAGAAACTGTTCAAGTGCAAAGATTGTTCCTTTTATACTGGTTTTAAGTAAGTAGTAGATTAAGTAAATAACCATATATACTTTTTGATGAAATTCAGTGAATTTTGGGAGCTCCGTAGTGAATAGAAAATGGTAAGAATAGTAACAGTAATAGTAATAGTAAATTATAAGAATCGGGTTTCTCTTGTCATGTGTAATTATGTATGTTTACCTCATGAGAAGGCGTACAGTTTAGAAATGGATAGGGCAGGGGTATGGAGCCTCATGCTCAAGGGCTGAATCCAGCCTTCTTAGGACTCTCCAGATGGCCCCTTCCCCTTCCCAATGATACCACTGTTCCTCAGTTTTCGTGTGGGAACCGCCTATCTAACTCATTGTAGGAGGGTCAGAATTCCTTTCCTGAAGCTTGGTTATTGGCATTAAGAGTTTTAAGCTCTGCCTTGCAATTTTTGCCTCACCCTTTTGACTCCATTCATCATGGAAATGTAGCCAGTATAGAGATCTTTAAAACTGAATTTGGCCTTCAAACTGTAAGAGGTTCTCCGCTCAATCCTTGGTGTGTAGGCTATAGTTGTGTTACATGCTACAAAATTTTGCAGAAGTCTCCATTCCCCACTGTGAAAAATCCTAATGTGGGTAATTTATAACTCAGCCTTGTAAATAAAGCAGATTTACCAGTAGAGGAGTAAATCTGGTTCAGTTCAATGGGTTTCTGTTCTACCTAAGTATGTATCGGATAGCAACTACAGGTTTAGAGAGTAAGACTAAGGTACTGGTTCAGCTAAGTGATGTTATACCCCACATCACTTCTAGTGCTTTCCAAAGGCACCAGGTCCTTGTCTATTCATGCCTGCTTTCTGCCCATCTCTCTAAAAGTCACCTTTCCTTCCACCCAAAGGGTACCGTTTCTGTCAAAAGATGGATTTTTACAATTTTGTTATGCAAAACAAAGTTCTAATAGTTTCTTTACTTAAATGATTAACACAGTGTGGTATATATGTGCTAATCTCACCAGCGGGGTGGTGGAAGTTACGTATTTGATCCAGTGTGGGCAAACAGAAAGAGAGAAACATGACATTAATTGTCCCTTGCTATCTTCTTTGCTTAAAATTTCTAAAACAGTCTTCTCCAGCTTGGTGCCTTCCAGGCATATGGGACTATAACTCCTATTATGCTTATCAGAGAGTTGTAATCTGACACATTTGGAGAGCTCTTGCTTGGGAAGAGATTATTTAAACCCTCCTAGTCAGTTGGGTTTTGCCTGCCCGAATGTTACCAAGTATACACTCAAGTGTCTTTAAATGGCCATGACTTTATTGGTGGGTACTAAGGTTCTTCTTACTTAAGGTAATACAGGCCCAATACATAAATCTATTAACAGAGTGTCCTGTTACCAGCTGCATTGGAGCTTGAAAACATTTAAGTAATGTAATTTGCAAGACTGAGGTCTGGCTGGATCTTCAAGGAGTTATATAGTTCACTTCGTATGTACGCATACGATGTTCTGAAAATTCACAGATGCACTAGATACAAAAAATTTATGTATATGAAGGAAAATCTGCTTGTATCTGCTCTTGCAGGCAGATGTGTGGGTAATTCCTCCAGCAGTATGTTGTGGTACAGTCTAAAGCAGAAAATGGTGGCTCCAGAGAGTACCTCTGTGCCACTTTAAAAGTAAGCCTGGGAAGGAGCCCTCTCTGTCACCGATACTTACTTTGAGGAGAGGTGCAAGGAAAAGAAACAAACCCTCTGCTTCCACCCCTCTTCCCACAGTCTCTTTTTCCCTCTCTTCCTTTAATGAGAGGTTGACATTTGCCCTAAAGCTGGAGAAATTTAGAAACTAGCCTAGGGGGAAGTACTAGTGAACTTGTATTGACTGTGTGGTGTTCTGCAGTCAGCAAAACCTTCATTCTCCTAAGTTTGGAATCCTTGAAGTTGATATTCCTCAAACTTTAAAAAAGTGTTTCACATACAAGGAGGACATGGAGAGGGGGAACCCTCATGAAATTGGATTGCAGTGCCTGTAACTAACAGGCTGTCAGTCCATTTTATAGGGTTTGTCCTTCAGAATTAATCATTTACCATTTCAGAACTTAGCCTTGAAGTTATTTTTGTATGTCTGTGCCATGATCTAGGTAAACTCTCTAATTCAGGCAGCTTGTTGCTTTGAAACCAGGTTTCCCCTGTGGAATTATTAATGGTTCCTAGAGGAGCTTGTTTTTTCATCCCATTGGCCATCCTTGTATCTCTTGAATGAACCAGGATACAAAGCACCAACGCCTGTCCGACCAATCAGAGGAACATGGATATGTCCCTCTCTGCCTAAGGACATGAAAGACTTGCTGTATGTGGCCCAACGTTTTGTTCTCAGAGCAGCCAACTAAATATCTCTGGGAAGCTTGGGAATAGAACAGATCTCCCTGGGCACGTTTCCCAGCAACTGCTATTGAGAAGCATATGGCTTCTGTTATTTGAAGTTATGGATAGCCATCGTGACTAGTAGTCATCGGCGGCCTAGCGCTTCATAAACAGATCTAATCCCCTTTTAATATGAATATACTGGCAAACCTGTGTGTGGAACTGATGTAGCTGTTTCCCACTTTGGGGGAATTAATTTGGCTTCCTAGGGATTTCCACCCCCCCATAGTATATGTATGTCCGTCAATTCCCTTTCTCATTCTTCTCTAGATCCAGCACCTAGAATGGAAATAATCCCCATTAGCCTGATAGTCTTTAGTTTTGTTTGATTCACACCTCGGACTGATGCAGATGAAACTGCTTTACTTCTGAGGTGTGGCTTCCCATGTTGGTTGAAAAGAATCCTGGTTAGTCATAATCAGACGGTTGCACTGCTTTGAAGTTGGGATGAAGTTGGGAGGTCACGGGAATAAACAATGCTATGGTGTCCCTCCCACCCACACACCCACACCCACACCCACACACTCACTCACTCACACACTCACACACTCACACACTCACACACACACACTCTTTAACCGCACAGTTAAGAGATTATGCTGGGTCTGCGCTGGCTGTGTTGGGGATTGCTGCTTGACTTGAGGTTTGTTATGGCAAATATTAATAACCCTTGTTTTTAAAGGAATAGAAATGGCGTGATATCTGTAGCTTCTGCAACCAATGAACATTACCCAGAGATTGTGCTTCCACAGCACCCTGTCCTGAGCCTGTCCACTACTCCCTGTGTTTGTAGATCCGCTTTTACTATGCACGTGGAAGCTGGGCACTCAGCAGTCCCCGAGGAAGGACCCAAAGACCTCCGCTGTCCTCTCTGTCTGTACCACACCAAATATAAACGGAACATGATCGACCATATCGTCCTTCATAGAGGTAAAGGAAACCCACAGGACTGTACCAATGGCCAAACTGGGTCAGTGCTAATGACTCCTGGGTGCTCAATGGAAAGCCTGGTAGCCCAGGAGAGTTTGCAAGTGTCATTTGTTTATGTCAAGCATCTGGGGAGTTAGACATGAGGAAGTGGAGAAGATGCAAGGGCTTGTTCGCTGCCTTCAGTACCTTGCTGTTTGCCGCTGTTGTGTTTCTGATGGAGTACTTGTAATAAGAGAGCTCTGGCCAAAATCCTGTTCATTACATGCACTAGGATAAAACGATCAGCATAAATCTTGCTGATGAATTACCACATGATAAACAGTTAGCAAAGACATTTGCTGTTGTGTGCCAACTCAAGACACAGCAGCAAATTCCTACACTAATGTCTTAACTTACAACAGTTCATCTGTGAGGTTTATGTTGACGGTGCTATGCCAGCATAAAAAAGTAATAGGATTTTGGCGTGTGTGTGTGTGTGTGTGTGTGTGTGTGTGTGTGTGTGTGTGTGTGTGTGTGAAAATAACACAGCTGTTATTGCATCTGTGTTAAAAATTAAAACAATATCTCAGTTCTAGCTCTGTGCTATCTTATGCCTAGAATGTCTTTCTACGCTTAGCCACGAGTGGCACCTGGTCTTCCAGGACAGAACTACACACACTTAACTTCTTGTGGATCCCCCTTCTCTACCCTTACTTATTTTTTATTTATTTAAACCCTTTCTATCCTGCCTTTCTCCTTAAAAAGGACCCAAGGCGGCTTCTTCATTTTTCTTCATTAAGAAAAATGACAAATTATTTCAGATTCTGTTGGCGGCAAAATTGTGCACTCTGAGGAGACAGCTGTTTGAGCTCTTCAAGGCTGGGAATCTTGCCATTAGTTATCACACTTGATGCTTAGAGATGGTCTGTTGGCTACTGAAATCCATACCCATGTGTTAGAGTGGCATTCTGCCTGATCACAGGCTGAGCAGCATCCACACAGCAGGGTATCGATGCTGAGGTAACAAGAGTGGTATGTGCCATCTCTACCCCATAGGAAATCACTTCATTTTTTGCTTTTCTTTTTTGCAGCCTCCATAGGGTAGAATGCCACTTCTTTACAAGCCCTTTCGCTTTACCTGAATGCTGTACAGGAGTATACGGTTCATTGAAGAGATGGGAAGCAGTTAACTATTGGTTAACTGTGAACCCCAAAATCTAATTGCACAGTCAAAACTAGTGCGCCTGCTGTACCTATTTCTTAGAGGTCTGATTTGGCCACTGTGATACATCTTGTCTGGATTATTGTAACACTCTCTACATGGGCCTGCCTTTGGAAAGTGTTCGGAAACTCCAGAGGGTCTACAATGGTGCAGCCAGATCACTAACTCGGGCTGGTTACAGGGAACATATAACCTTCCTGTTGCAGCAGCTCCACTGGCTGCTACTGGGCACAATTCAAAATGCTGGGTTTAACCTACAAACCCCTAAAATGGCCTGGGTCCAAGCTGTGTCAAAGACCACAACTCCCATTATGAGCCGGCTCAGGTGTTAAGATCACCAGGGGAGGCCTTTCTCTTGGTCCCACCACCCTCACAGGTGTGCTTGGTGGGGACATGGGAGAGGGCCTGCTCTGTCGCTGCTCCCAGACTCTGGAACTCCCTCCCACGGGAAGCTAGGCTGGCCCCATCTTTGTTGTCCTTCTGCAAGCAGGCAACAACCCTTCTCTTCAGGCAAGCTTTTCCTTAATGAGTGGTGGTTTGAGAGCATTTTTTTAATGGACTATTGTGTTCTGTTGTTTTAAATGTGTTTTAATACTGATTTCATTTACCATATTTAATATAATACTTGTCTTTTTTAATATTTGTATTCTTGCTGCTTTAGTTTTTAAATATTGTCTTTTTAATGATGTAAGCTGCCTTGGGTCCCTTTTAAGGAGAAAAGTGGGACGAAAATATTTAAAATAAATAAATAATAAATACTTAAGTCAAGTTTAAGTTGCAGGGAACCAATTTTTAATAATTAAGTTGATGCTAAACTGCCAGTCTAAGTTAGGTGACTATAGTAGCTATAATAAAGCCTTACCAGAAAAGTTTTTAAAAATACTATTTTGTATTCTCTCCCCCCCACCTGCACATTCTGCATCTTGAATTGTGGAGAGTAAGGCTTTTGCATGGGCTTTTGAAAAACTCTTTTCCCACCCATGCTACCAAAACCTTGATCTTTTCCCTCTCCCCCTTCTCCTCCTTTATAATCCTCTCTCCTTGTCTTTCCCCTTTTGAGCTTCCCACCCTGTTTCCCCAAAAATAAGGCAGGGTCTTATATTAATTTTTGCTTTAGAAAAACGCATTAGGGCTTATTTTCAGGGGATGTCTCTTTTTTCATGTACAACCATCTACATTGATTCAAATACAGCCCTGTCATCTTCTTCTGCTTGCTGCACAATGGTGGAGGCTGGGGTTTCACTGAACTGGGGCTTATTTTGAGGGTAGGCCTTATATTACGAGCTTTCTGAAAAATCACACTAGGGCTTATTTTCAAGTTAGGTCTTATTTTGGGGAAAATAGGGTACTTCCCAAGGGGATCCCAGTATTCCCAGGGAGTCAACATTCATTTTCCTGGCACAGACACAGTACCCTGATATGGTGTCTGACATAGAATACAAGGCTCCCACCTTGATGCAAAGGAAGAAAGAAAGAAACACCACCAACCCAGTCTAAGCTGTACTTGCAAAATTTTTATAAAGGATTGTAAAGCCTAATTGACTTTAATCCTCCCTTCAGGATTAGAGATGCAATTTAAAAAGTGAAGGGACATTCCCTCTGCTTTGATCAACTAGAGATATATCCTGAACATATATCTGCATATGCCCTGTTCTCAGCCAAGAGAAGTTTTCTTGTGGACCAAAGCCAGACCCAGGGCTGAAGCACATGTCGCCTCCTTCTGCTCCCTCCTTCTCTGGGAGGTGAACTGTTTAGAGGGAGAAGGAGAGTCTATCTGTAATCTTTGCTTTTCAGATTTTGCCGTCTTCTGCAGAGAAATGCAATGCAGCGGGTTGGGAAGCCAGTGGAGACTGTGGGAAGTAGGGGGGAATTTGTAGCCATCATTGCTGTGTCTCAGGTCTTTCTTCGGTGTGATAGGACAATATAAACCAATTTTAAGGGTTTAAGCTGAGTTATCCTTCCATTACTGGAAAAAAAAATGATTTGGTTAATTCATTTTGCTAGCGTTGCTTTTGATTTCTCATTCACAGTCATTTTGATTACTTTTTTTGGAAAGAAAGTCCAATGGCTTGCTCAAAGGCCCCTCCATTGTATCTGTATCTCCAGGGGACTCAAAGTGCATGGAACAAAGCCAGTTTAGCAAGAGGAATAGTTCAGCACACAAGGAATTCTGGTGTTGAATGTAACCTCTGAAGGAGCTGTCATGCCAGCCTGCCTGCCAGATCCTGTTGACCTCCAGGACATTCTTGGAGATTTATCTATTTTATGAGGTTGTTTAAAATTCAGGAAACAGGAGAAAGTATAGGGGCTTCAAGAGCCAATAATCATTTTTTCGTTTTATATATTCTGCAGCATGCAAGTGGATCAAGGGGGGGGGGGTTTCCTTCATGGCTTATTTTCTCCACTGGTTTAGGTACGTGTAGAATATGCAGATGAAGTAACGTTTGCATTGCAAATAAGTAAGAATGGAGTAAAGTCCTAAAATATGGATGAAACCCAAAAAAACAAAAACACCAAACCACACACCACCCTTGCTTATAATCTTTGCTGCCTTTCACTCACTGAACTTTTCAGGATTTAGCTAATCAGATTTCTTAATCTCTCCAAAAGAGGCAGCATGGTGACTTTTTGGCCTGCCAAATTTTGTTGCCAATTCTTCAGCACCGAGGTCTCCCTCGTGACCCTCTTACTAAGAAGTCTCTTGTGTGTCTCAGATACACACACAGGACTGTCTGTTGCTAGGGGAATGCTATCCAGAATTGCAGAACAGTAAAATTTATACATTGATTTAAGAGTCTACCATCTTGTCCAATATTTAAAATGTTGTATGTGGGTCAAATACTGGAGATTAAAAACATAATGTGCAAGAACACAGTAAAATACAACATGAAAACCTAAACTAATATGAAATATCTTAAATTTAAAGTATTTAAATTTAAATTTACAGAGTTAAATCAAATTAAAACTCAACATCAAAGGAGCACAGCACTGCAAACATCTAAAAAAGCCTCTTAAAACTGAAGGTTTAAAACAATCCAAAAGCATAAAAAAAGTGTTTAGAATTAATATGAAAATGTATACAATAAGTACCAGGTGAAGCCCTCTGTAGTGAGAATTCCCCTCTCCTTGGGAGCGATCCACTTAAGAAGCTGGAATGGGGATTTTTCTGACAATGTGCTCAAAATATAGACTCTTATAAGTCTTCAGCTATAAGGAGGAGGAGAAAAGTGCACTATTAAGACAATCTTCCATCTGAGGCAAAGTTCATATACTAAGGGGGAAAGGCTTCCATTTCCTTCATGCTATTCTAAGACACCTCCATAGTGGCAGAAAACATGATGTTTATCCCCAAAAGTTTAAACAAAAATTGTTGCTCTAGCCAATAGGAATCTAAATTGGTTGGAAGCCTATCAGCACTACTATTGAAAATTTCCCTCCAAAATTACTTAGTCCTGCTTCAAACAAGCTTTTAAATGTCTTGCAGAATTATAATATTTGGCTTTTATAAGAGGGGCCCACTGGCTGAAATCGTGTAAGTCCCAATTGCATTATGCCCATTCAGTCAGAGGGAATTTGTTGGGTCAACTCCTTGGTCATTTCCATTGATTTAGTGGGACTACAATAGGTGTGGCCCCTTTGCTGAGAAACAGGATTTCAGCCACTCGGACCCACATTCCTGCAAGTGCCCAGTTTACCCAATTGCATAATCCGCTGGAGTGGTGCCGCAGTGTTCCTTCATTTCTGCACCGGCAACCTGCTTCTATGTCATGGTGCTCCACTCTTCTTGGTAAATAGGGGC